AGACCCGTTACGCTCCTAGGCTCCTAGGTCCTGACAGGAGGCTAAGGGCTCAATGCTGACCGAGTGTGCAGGGCCACACCAAGCCGGTTGGGCAGTGTTGTGCCATCATCCCCGGCTCCACTCACTCCCACTCGCAAGGTGGGCGGACAGAATGTTGGACTGTGTGGACCTTTGCCGGAAGCAAGTTCCAGCTTTGGCTGCACCAGTCTCAGCCGTCTTCTTACAACATGAGAATCCTGGGGAAATCCTAATGTTTTGGGGTCCCTTGTTTAAATATTCTGATAGGCAAGGGAGGGGTGCAGGTTTCCTTTAGAACTGCATTTCTGCCCTGGTATTAAATGCCCAGTCAGAGCTCTTAGCCTGTGTCTGCTGAGCCCACCAGTGGAACCGCATCCTGTGTCCCAACCACTGAGTGCTAGTTTATGATCTTCCGTGACCATAAAAGTTTATGGCATGTGACAATCAGGGTGACAGGAACCTGCTTTCTGAGGCCAGGTCACATGCCTTGGCTTGTCATGAGCCACCCTCCCCCATCTCTTCCTTATTGTCAAGCTGGGTTTTTATCTGACCAGAGAAATCATTGACCAAGGCAGAGCTGCAGATCTGAGTGGCAGGAGAGGCCCCTGGGAGCTGGGGAAGCTCAGGGCTGGGTACCATCACCTTGGGATTCTCCAGACCCTTAGAGTAAGGATGGACCCGAGTGAGGTTGCTCCTCAAAGAAGTTACATGCATTGGTTCACACTTTCAGCCCAGACCCAGAAAGGCTGAGATAGGAGGATGGCTTCAGTCTGGGAGCTGAAGGCCAGCCCAAGTGGGCCATAGAAAGACCCCAACTATTTGAGCCTGGTCTGAGGCCCAGCAGGCGATATCAGACACACAATGACATGTTTGAACAACTTTATTGGTTTCTGGGTAAAAAGTGTGAGGTCTCTGGGAGTATGGCCTGGCAGGCTACTTTCTTCTGGGGCCCAGACACCAAGCTGAGGACTCAGCAGGAGCTCCAGGGTCAATGAGAAGGCACTGGGTGAGGAGGGCAGGAGGGCAGAAGAGCCCCCTCCATGAGATACTGATGGCACTATGAACAAGCCAGGGCCCCCAGGCAGGCCAAAGGGAAGCACTTCACATGGTGGAGCTGTGGCCTCCCTGGGCAGGACCACCCAGGAAGAGCCTCAAGCCACCAGCATTGGTTAAACCTCTTAAAAGAAAAATAAGTTGCCGTGAAGTGGTGGCCCACGCCTTTAATCCCAATACTTGGGAGCAGAGGCAGGTGGATATTTGTGAGTTTGAGGCCAGCCTGGTCTACAGAATGAATTTCAGTATAGCCAGGGCTGTTACACAGAGAAACCCTGTCTTGAAAAACCAAAGGGAGGGGAAGTTACCCCCCAAACCCAGCTTTCCATGTTCTGTGAAAGCCCTCCAAACAAAGCTAGAATGTGAAATCTTGAGCCCCCGTGTGACAGGGAACTTGGCCACAGCGACCCACATCCCAGTGCAGGTCCCTGACACACCCCATGTGTGCTTCCCACAGCAGCAGAGGGAGGAATGTTCAGTCTGGGGAGGCAGCTGGAACCCCCGGAGGAGTCACAGCCCTGTGACTGTACAGCTGCTGGAGCCCAAGCCCAAACACAGGTCCTCTGCAAGAGCAGGCACAGTCGCCAGTGCCATCTTTCGGGGTCCGTCATCTCTCTGCTTTGCTTTTAATTTATTTTTCAGACAGGGGTTTCTGTATTCCAGACTGACCTCAAACTCAAGGCCATCCTCCTGCCTCAGTCTTGAGTGCTGGAGTAACAATAGAGAGGCACCAGGTTCAGGTTCTTACTCTTTTTTTTTTTTTTTTTTTTTTGATTTTTCGAGACAGGGTTTCTCTGTGGTTTTTGGTGCCTGTCCTGGAACTAGCTCTTATAGACCAGGCTGGCCTCGAACTCACAGGGATTCGCCTGCCTCTGCCTCCTGAGTGCTGGGATTAAAGGCGTGTGCCACCACCGCCCGACTTAGGTTCTTACTCTTTAAGAGCAAACAAAACTCGCACATTTTATCTGTGGCGTGTGTGCCGTGGCGTATGTACAGAGGACAGCTTTTGGGAGGCGTTGCTCTTCCTCCTTGGAGTGCTTGGGGATCAAATCAAAGCTTTTGGGTTTGGTGGTAACTGACTTTACCCACTGAGCCATCTTGCCTGCCCCTCTTTCTTGCTACTTGATGTTTTGTTAAGACAAAGTATCGTGTAGCCCAGCCAGGCCTCTGACTATGTAGAGGCGGCTGGCCTTGAACTCCTGACTCTCCTGTCTCCACCCTTATAGCCTAGAAGTCCCAATACTCCTAAGGCCAGGGATAGGTGCCACTGACAGGCGTGTTCAATCACCACTCAGGGTTTGGCTTTTCAAACCTAAACATTCAGTTGGGTTCATTCCCCATTACCGCATAAAAACATGAAACATGCTCTCCCCTACAGCCCACATTGCTGGGGGAGCATGCCCCTGGTATTTTGCTCCCCCTGTGGATGCAGGGATGGTGGGCTGAGGGAGCAGATCTGAGTCGATATTGCAATGCCATCAGCGCTCCACAGGGACCCACAGGGAGTGTGCTAAACCTCAAGAGTAGGGCTTTGTCAGATTCTCCAAGGGGTAGGAAGGTCGAAGGTGAGCTGTCTAGACAGTGGGGAGGGGGGTCCTTTTCTTGCACACAGTGAGGTCACCCACGGGGTGGGGCACAAGCAGCCTGTGTACACAGCAGCTGGCCTGGCTCCCAGCCCAGGGTGCACACAAAAGCATCTTGAGTACACTTTTCAGCCTCCCTCAGCCTCAGGAGTCCACCATTCTCTGGAGGCTTCCATGCCAGTCATGAGCAGAGTAGAACATGAGATTCCCTGTTTTAGCTGACACTATCAAAGTAACTTCAAAGATCGGCAAGTCAGGCATGGTGCTTCCACCTGTCGTCCTGAGATGCGGAGGCAGAGGTTCGGGTCATTCTCAGCTACACAGTGAGAGTGAGGCCAGCCTGTCTCAAACCACAAAAAACTCAGAAAGATCTGGGTACGTCAGTAGTGATCAAACCTCGGCTGCCCGCAGTGTGCCTCTCCAGAGGACACTGGAGCCTTCCCTGGGCACAGCATCCTCAATCCACAAGCTACATTCCCATGTCCAAGCTGGCAATGTGAATGAATCACTGGTTGAGAGTCCAGATGCTCACGTCCCTGGCTTCTCATCTATGTCAACATTACTTTTCTTCCTCCACCACGGGGCCAGCCTGGCTTTCTACTTCATCACAGCACCTGTGAGATCCAAGCGCCCCCACCTCAGGCCCTGCTCACCCACCCTCCTCTCCTAATGTGAGAAGGCCTGCCGGGAGCAGCAGGGTTGGGGGAGACCTGGTCCTTAGGGGTCAAATGTGGCCAGGCTAGGCTTCCATCAGACAACTACCAACCCCCTAAGCCCAACCCACCAAGAAACAAGGAGAAAAAAAAAAATCAGGTTTTCGGGCCTAAATAAATAAATATCAGTCCCTCAGCTCAACAGCAGGATCTGCAAAATGACACGCACACCCGGGGTGGCCAGAGGGGAAGTCCGGACTCTGAGCAAAAGTGTGGTATTCCCAGCACAGGTGACAAGATGGGTGAAGACATGGGTTCGGGGCACATGGTGGCACCCTCCCCAGTCCCCTACCCCTCTCCTGGGTCCTGCCTGAACCTTTAGGGAGTTTAATAGTGGAGTGCAGTCTGAAGCCCAGCTGAAGACTTGCCAGGAGACAGGAGGATTGCCACAAGTTGGAGGGCCAGCCTGAGCTAGAGTTCAGGAAGAGAACCCTGTCTCAAAATACAAAAGCCAAATAAAGTCATTGGGAACAGACACAGACACAAGGATAGTGATGCCTCTGTTATCTCAGGGCTGAGGCAGGAGGACCAGAGTGCAAGTCCAGCCTGGTCTACACGATGTCCCAAAGTTCTGAGTCCTCCACACGCAGAAGAGCCCTGACTCGTGTTCACAGCTGTCTGGGAAGCTGGGAAGCCTCACCTCGGGGAGAAAGCGCCATAACAGGGCAGGAGGCAGAGCCACAGCCACAGTTGTTTCTGTGGGAACAGCAGGCAAGTCTCTCCAGGGTACCCTCACCCACTGCCCCAATCCTGCCTGGAGCCCGGAATGTTCCTCAGACACAGGGTGAGCGAGGAAGATGACCTGAGGAAATCACACCAGAACAAGGAACATCTGAGCTGAAAAGTAGCTAGGCCCAGCACTGGGCAGGCCAAGGTAAGAAGGTCAAGAGTTCAAGGTCAGCCTCAGCTACACAGTGAGTTGGAGGCCAGGTTGGGCTAATGAGACCTTTGTCCCAAACAATAAAACGGTACAGTGATGAGCAGTTACCCAGAATCCAGGTTCATGCAATCACAATTCCCTCTCCAAAATATAAGGTGGCATCCAAAATGTAAGTGACTTCTGGTAGCGGGAGCTGCACTTTGTCTTGGGTGGAGTCCAGGCCACAGGTCACATCCAGCCCCTCCTCCTGGCTGGAGTCCCAGGCACACCTCCAGACAGTTCACAGATGTCCCAGTGACTGATATAGCATGTAGGAACATGCCCAGGCACCGCAGTCTCCGGTCTCAGTCCCTAAGGGGACACGAGAATCTGTTTATCCACAGATGCTGGGAGATGGGCAGTTCAGCCACCCTGAGACGCCAAACCCTCACCCTCCCAGCACTTAGGAAGCTGAGGCAGGAGAATGAGGAGTTCAAAAGAGACTAACCTGGGTTACCTAGTAAGGTCAAAGGGCCAGACTGGGCAACCTGAAAACCTGACTCAAAAAAGATGAAAACTTAAAAACAAAAGAAAAAAAGAAAAGGCCACAGCCGGGTCAGTGCAGCCCAGGGAGGAGCCAGGCCCTAGGTGGCCACAGCAGTCCGCTCTTCTGAGCAAAGGGAACCCGCTATGGAGACCCAAAGAATAATGGTATTTTCAGGACAGGAGGCAAAAGAGGCCTCACACCCCAGGAGAAAGAAAGACACTTGTTGATTAAGCCTGAAGTTTTAACAACGGGGATATAAATTATTCTGTTCCCTAATCTAGCACTGGAGGGGGGAGGAGGGGGAGGAAGGGAGAGGAGAGAGAGTAGGGAAAGACTGAGGGGGATAGGAGGACAGAAAAGGTAGCCAAGTTGCAGGTGGCTTTGCCGGGGACCATCCAGGGCTTAGGGACATGGATTAGCGCCAAGCCAATTCCTTTGTGACACTTGGGGAGACCCCACCAGAGAGACCTCTGACTCCTGTCCACAGCCCCTGGAAAGCGGGGTGTGCTGGGGTCAGGCAGCGGCATGGCAGGTGTTCAGGCCACCAGCCTGTGGCCATCTCGCCCTGGTCCCAGCCTTGGCCTCTGGGGACAGCTGTATCTCCAGACACAGGACAATATCCAGACAGCTTCATCCACTGCCTTGCAGTCCACCATGGTGAGGAGAGGATGTGTAAGCCAGGACCTCCTCTCACAGCGCTGGGTGTGTGTGGCTGTCAGTGCTGGTGACAGCAGCTGATGTCCCCTTCCACCTGCTCCAGGACACCCAGCATCTCCTCGATGATGGCCCGCAGAGCCCGGCCTAGCTGGTCGGCATTGTAGGGCTTGCCCAGAGGGGGCACGTGGACAAAAGCTGACCGACCGCGGCCCTGGTAGAGCGAGGTGTAGTAGGTGAAGTCACACAGGTACCTAGGTCGGGGAGGAGGGTACACTGGGTCAGAGTCAGTTCCGGGCCACGGCCACGGCCACCCTCTGTGAAGCCCTCTAATGCCTGGGAGGTGGTAGGGAACCTAGGGATGAGAGGAATTTGGGGGACCCTGGCAGCCTTCTCTCTGTTTTCTAGAACTTTACTTTGCTGGGCATGATGGCACACACCTTTAATCCCAGCACGTGGGAGGCAGAGACAGGTGGATCTCTGAGTTCTAGGCCAGCCTGGCTATACAGTGAGACCTGGTCTCAGAAAAGAAGGTGGAAAGATCTCTGCTGTCCAGTCCCCGGGCTCACTGCCCGGGACCCCACCTGCCAGCATCCTGGGAGATGGTGACAGACACGTCCAGCCCCAGCATGGCCACCCTTCTGCACACAGCGTCCATGTCGATGATGGAGTCGATGCTCTCAGGGCCGTCCTCCACACAGCACTGGGAGCCGGGGCAGAACCGGCAATTATCCAGTCCTCTGTAGCCCTTGTTGTGCCCACACTTCTCCAGCGTCACTGTGGTGGCCATGCCTGACACCCCAACATGTACCACGAGCTGGGGAGAGAGGGGCAATGCTTAGCAGGGGCAGACACCCACCACACAGGGGATAAGAAAGTGTGAAAGAATTTCTGTTGCTGCTACAAAATGACTGCTATGTAGCTGGCTTTTTTTTTTTTTAATCTTTTTTTCATGCCAAGGATTCTCTGTGTGGTCCTAGCTGTCTTGGAACTCACTATGTAGACCAAAGTGACCTCGAACTCACAGAGATCTGCCAGCCTCTGCCTCCCAAGTGCTGGGATGAAAGGCATGTGTCACCACCCAGTTTGAGGTGTTTTGAAAGTCATTTTTTTTTCTTTATTAATACTTCCTTTGATGATGCTGAGTGTACCAGGGCCTCATACACTCAACATGTAACTGTAACTTGCTCAAACCCTTCCTGGCTGGCACACAGAGGGCAGCAAGGCCTGTAAGGTCCCCAGTCGCTGCCTGGGGTGTAGCACTGACCTATGGTATGGTGTGGCACTGGAGGCGAATACTGCCTTGTGATGATCCTAGACTAACCTCTGGAACTGTGAATTGGCCTCTAGTTGGATGCCAGCTTTTATGGGTTGTCATGGTGACTACTCAAAGGACTGAACAATGACTAGGTGTGTGGATCTTCAGGGGCCCTGTGCACCGCTCACCTGGGGGCTGTGCTTCTCCCACAGCGCAGGGATGAGCCTTTGCACGGTCTGGTATTCCACAGGGATTTCATACACGTGCAGGTCCACGCTGTCCCCAAGGCCCAGTTTCTCCAGTTCCTGAGAGAGAAGACACCATGTGAGGATGGGGAGGCCGCAGGGGACACCCATCTTCAGACACCAGGCATTCGCTGCATGCCATCACCCAGCACTCAGGACTGGAGGCAGGATCAGGCATTTAAGGTTGTCCTCTGACCACCACACAACCCATTGAGTACCCAGAGCAGCAGCAGCTCCTCAGGACCACGGCTGCCGCAGGGATGCCAGGGAAACACCAGAAAAGATTGGGAAGCACAATACAGACCTGGAGAAAGATCTGGATTAATCTATCTCTGTAGCTGTAACAAAACACTGGGGTTAGGGCACTTCACGAAAAAGGAGGTTAATGCTGGGCAGTGGTGGCGCACACCTTTAATCCCAGCACTCCAGAGACAGAGGCAGGAGGCTCTCTGTGAGTTTAAGGCCAGGCTGGTCTACAGAGCTAGTTCCACAACAGGCTCCAAGGCTACACTGAGAAACCCTGTCTCAAAAAACAAACAACAACAACAACAAAATGAAATGGATGTTAAACCAGATGTCGCTGTCATATACCTGAGGATTGTCTTAATACTTGAGAGGTTGAGATAGGAGGATTGTTGCTAGATTAAGGCCAACCTCCTACTCTACATGAATCTAATTCTAGGCCAGCCAGGGCTTCATAATGAGACTCTGTCTCACAAAACAAGAAATTAAAAAAGAAAGGTTTGGAGCTAAGTTCGTTGTTAAGAGCATTGGCAGCTCAGTTGGTGCAGTGCTGTAGTTAAGTCAGTAGAGTGCCCAGTGAGCATGCAGGGAAGGTTCGGGTCCATGCCAGCACCAGGTGTGGTGCACACCTGTCAGCCCAGACGTTTGCAGGGTGGAGGCAGGGGTCAGGAGGTCAAGAAGACCCTGTCTCAACAAGCACCTAAACTCAAACAAAAGCATGAAAGAAAGAACAGTTTCTTCTGGACTGTTCTGGAACAGGGGACGTGCGCCACCTGCTGGGTGAGCATCAGGGGAGGGGAAAAGGGCAAGTCGTTGTCATGGCAACTGTATTTGATGGACTTTCGAACTTCACTGGTTAACAAACTAGAAAAGCAAAATAAATACCCCGCTCCCACCCCCTGGTGAACCAAGTGGTGTTTCTGTCACTGGGCACTCAGAGGCCGAAACTGAGGCAAGAAGATTGCAGTGAGTTCCAGGAAAACCCGGGTTACTGGGAGACCCTGTCTCGCTGTTCTTTCAGGGACCTGAGTTCAGCACCCTGCATCCATACCAGGTGACTTACACTTGCAAGGAACCCCAGGCCTCAGGCATCTGGAGGCATTTGCATCCATATACACATGCCGCGCCCCCCCATACACAATTAAAACAAAGCTAATTCGGTGATGGTTGTGAACGCCTTTAATCCCAGCATTTAGGAGGAGGAGGCAGGAGAAGCCTCTGTGAGTTGTAGGCTAGCCTGGTCTACATAGTGAATCCAAGACAGTAAGGGTGACATAGAGAAAGCCTGTCGTAGAAAACAGACTAAGGAACCCACACACACACACACATACAAAATCAATGGCTGGGGGGGACGGAGGGAAGAGCGGACGGGCGGGCGGGAGACGCCGGCGCCAGACGCGGAGGTAAAGAAGCTGCGACCAGCCGCCCGGAGGCCGCAGAGCCAGCGACGCCTGAGCCAGTCGAGCCGCCGTCGCCGCGCCCCCATGGCAGCCACCAAGGACAGTCATGAGGACCATGATACCTTCACAGAGAATGCAGATGAATCCAACCATGACCCTGAGTTCGAGCCAATAGTTTCTCTTCCTGAGCAAGAAATTAAAACACTGGAGGAAGATGAAGAGGAACTTTTCAAGATGCGGGCAAAGCTATTCCGGTTTGCTTCAGAGAATGACCTCCCAGAATGGAAGGAGCGAGGCACTGGTGATGTCAAGTTCCTGAAGCATAAGGAGAAAGGGACCATCCGCCTTCTCATGAGGAGGGACAAGACTCTGAAGATATGCGCCAACCACTATAGCACACCGATATTGGAGCTGAAGCCCAATGCTGGCAGTGACCGTGCCTGGGTCTGGAATACTCACGCCGACTTTGCTGATGAGTGCCCCAAGCCTGAACTGCTCGCCATTCGCTTCCTAAATGCTGAGAATGGACAAAAGTTCAAGACAAAGTTTGAAGAATGCAGGAAAGAGATTGAAGAGAGAGAAAAGAAAGGACCAGGCAAAAATGATAATGCTGGAAAGGTGGCTGAGAAGCTGGAAGCTCTTTCTGTGAGGGAGGCCAGAGATGAGGCTGAAGAGAAATCTGAGGAGAAGCAATGAATCTGTCTGTCCTTTTCCTTCCTTTTTCTTTTTAAAAAATTTCCCTGCCCTTTAAGGTTTGTTTTTATTCTGTTTTGTTTTTACAAGGGACTTTATAAAGAACTGAATTCCAACATTCAGGGGTTTTTTGTTTTCTTTTGTTTTTTTAATTCTTTTCTCCTTAAGTTTTGACACCATTGAACATGACTTCAGAAATCCATTCCCCAGTCATGAAAATGTACTGTGCTAACTTTCTTTTCCATAGTGGAAACACTTATTTATAGTCATCAAAAATAGTGAATAAAAAATACCTTTGAAAACCTGGAAAAAAAAAAATCAATGGCTGGTGTTTGGCTACACATTTGTCCTCAGTTCCTTCCCCGCGAGTGGCTGAGACCTATACGTGGCCAGGATGAGCAGTCTCTGCAGTAGAGGGGTTCACTCAGGAAATTTATGGGTTCAAGCAGGTGATTAATGTCCCTGTAAAGGCCATGAGCTCTTCCTGTGAGGACTCTGCTGGGCAGAGGAACTAATCACCCTTCAGCTGGCTCCGCCTTTTGCCCCACACCTGGGAGAAGATGCCATAAATCCCACTCCCGCTTCCTCCTGGTGCACTGCTCAGCACGCTGGAAAGCTCCGGGCCGGAGGGTACAGCTGTGGCTTTGTCTAGCCGAAAAGACAGCCACAAAATCGGGCACGGCTGTAGGCTGCATCTGACCGAGTCCCTTGACCCCACCACAAAGCCCTTCTTTGTTTGCTGGTACTATTCCTTGGAGGGTCTGTCTAGACTTGTGGTGGCAGTAATTATCCCAGGGTATCACCGAGTTCTGGGGCCCACTCAGGGCCAGACTTTGCAATAACAAACCAAAGGCTTCCTTGACACCCACTTATTCTCCCACGGAGAGATGCACAGCCCACCACCTCAGACCTGGGAGGGATGAAGAGAAAGCTGGCAATGAGGGTGCCCTCTGTGATCCCCACACTTGGGAAACTGAGGCAGGAAAATCACCTGCAGAGTGAGATCTTGTTTAAAACCAATTAATCGGTTTCTCACGGAAGGTGTGCTGGAGCACACCTGTCACCCACTGGGGAGCTGGGCAGCAGGGTCAGGAGTTCGAGGTCAGCCAGAGTGCAGACCCTGTCTCAAAACTTCCAAAAGGTGGATGGTGGGCAGTAAGGTCTGAGAAGGTGGCTCAACAGGTAACAGAGCTTATGGCCAAGCCTGGTAACCCGGGTTCGACCCTGAGGACCCACACAGTGCTCTCTGCTCTCCCATGTGGGCCTTCCCACATACACAACAGACAATGCATAAGTAAATAACATTTTTTTTTTTTTAGGGAATAAGATGAGAAACAGTTTGGTTTCTGTACGAAATCAAAGTTTTTCCATGGAGCGTAAAAGCTCCAAGGGAATTCCCAAAGATTGTTTAATTGATTTTCCTTCCTATTTACATGCAGATGGTGAAGTCTGGAGCCCAGGAATCCAGACACCGGCTTTGTGTCCACTCAGCCCATGAAGCCTCCTGTCTGCAGTTCACACAAAGCCAGACACACAAGTCTGCAGAGACACACTGGTTCTTTTTGTCTGTGGCTCTGGGGAGCGGGTGTGCAAGCAGGGGCCCCGGCCACACTCCCATCTCCATCCAACTTGCAGTGTGAAGGTGGGGAAGAAAAGGGGGTGGCAAAGCGGCTGAGACTTCTGAGGTGGGGAGGGGACCTTAAATCACACAGCTAATGGGCTAAAATTAATCCGGGTCTGGCTGCCATCTCTGCCAGCTAATTTATCTAAGAACCAAACGTCTGTCTTTCTCTCTCCACTCAATTGTCCCTGAGCCTTTCTGTCTGAATGTCCCATCTGGAAGGAAACCCAAGTCAGAGGAGCCACTCTTTAGATCACACTCTGGGAAGAGATGCCCTCCTGAGGACAGTGCAGAAGCTGAGGCTCCTCCTTCACTGGGCTAAGCCCTCGCCCAGTGTGCCCATCTGCTCCCCAGCCTTGGCAGACTGGGCTGGGGCACACCTGGCCTTTCTCACGTTAGTTAGACTATGTAGCCCTGGCTGTCCGGGAACTCACTCTGCCTCCGGAGCACACACCAGGCCAACAGGAAGTGGAAAAGCTTTCAGCCAGGCCTGGTTCTAGCACTCAGGAGCCCGAGGATCATGAGTCTGAAGTTAGCCTGGGCTATACAGTTACAATAAGGCTAAAAAATAAAACAAGAAAACAAATGGGGGAAAAAAAAGCGCTCAACAAACATAAACTGGATTGGTTCACATCCGAGATGTTTAAATTGTATTTAAACACATGGAAAGACACTCAGCTCTGGGCTAGGCTGCTCCCCAAGCCAGTTCTGGGCTGCTTCCTCCCCTTCCGAATTACCTGGACAGCGATCCAGCTGGCATTCACAGTGTGCTCCCCAAAAGGCCCAAACCCTGGAAACAGAAGAAGAGGTGTCACTCTGTCTTCCCGCCCAATACACCCCCATACTATTTATCACCCAGCCCAGCTATAGACAGTGGCCACCTATGGATCCCAAACCGCCTGGAACTAGAGGTAGTCCTTTTGCCTTCACTTGCTGAGTACTGGGGTGACAGGCACAAGCTGCCAAGCCTGGCTTCCTTGTCCCCATTAGGACTCACAGGAAGTGGGCCTCTCCTTTAGCTACTTCATTCTCCAGTCAGGATATAAACTAGAGTTACATTATCATTGTTTTGTGTCGGGCTGTCTTCCAACTCTGGGAACCGAGGACCACTGGCCCCTCAGGCTCTGTGTGATCCCTGCAGGCCCAGCTACCTGAACACCTGAACACAGCCTCTCCTGGCCCCTTGTGTGATCTCTGCAGGCCCGGCTACCTGAACATCTGAACACAGCCTCTCCTGGCCCCTTGTGTGATCTCTGCAGGCCGGGCTACCTGAACACTGCCTCCTCCTGGCCCCTTTGCCTCTGGGCACTGTCTCTGTGGCGTTTGGTTTCTTTCCTTCTGAAGACAGGGTTCCTGAGTCTAACAGCCCTGAGTAAAGACTGAAGCGGAGAGAGGAAGCTATTTTGCTGAGATCTCACAGCAAGAGAGTGGAAAGCGCTGGGGTTCAAATCCATCCTGCTAAGCTGGCTAGCCACTGGGTTGCAAAAAAAAAAAAAAAATACATTTAAAAAACAAAAAAGAAAAACCAAAAACAACACACCCAGCTCCTGACTCTCCTGACTCTGGGTACCACGGCACACACCACAGACCTAGGAGCCGAGGCAAGAGAACTGGCAGCTTCAGGCCAGCCCAGGATACATGAGACCCTGTTTCAAAATAAAAAACAGAGCCAGAAAGATACCTCAGTCACACAAGGACCTGAGTTCAGACACAATATACAGGCACAGCATGGTACCCACACTTGTACTCCCAGGGCTGGGAAAGTAGAGACAGGCAGATCCCGGGCTCAATGACCTAATCTAATCTAATGCAGTGGCTCTCAACCTTCCTGTGGCGACCCCAGCCATGGAGCCATTTGCTGCAGCCTCATAACTGTGAATTCCCTACTGCTGTGACTGTAACGTAAACATCTGTTTTCCAATGATCTTAGGCAGTCCCGGGAAAAAGGGTAGGTTGACCCTAAAGAAGTCATGGTCCTCTAAGAATCCGGGTTAATGTAACTCAGGTGGTAAGAGTCCCACTTGCTGCCAGTGTTAAGAGATGGCCACCATACCTCGGGACAGCAGGTAGAGGCCACATCTTGGTAGCACCTCATCATGGTGGCACACACTGTTCATCTCAGCTTTTGTGAGTCTAAACAATCACCCTGAGTTTGTAGCCAGCCTGGGTCACAGAGTAAATTCCAGGTCGGCAGGACAGAGCAACAAAACGGTACTCTCTCTATAAACCAACAAGTCAAATAAACAGCCTGCCACAGTATGCTCCACGGGATCGGGGACACCTGTCCAGCAGGGGAGCAGCTTCCTCCAGTTTGGAGGAATTACAGCCAGAACCTTCCTCAGTTACAAAACACCTGTAGGAGTTTTCCTAGCTTGCTCCCTGTGGCCTCTCCAGGCAGAGGTTTAACCTGAGTGCCCTCCTCCAAGGCCTGGCGGAGTTGACTCCACCAAGCGGCCCCAGGCTGAGTCTCAGGAAATAAGTACAGTTAGCTTCCGGGGATGTTGGTGACAGTAGCCAGAAGTCACTGGGTCATTCTGGGGTCAGGCTGACGCAGACCTCCACCTGCTCCGATCCGGGTTGCAGGTCCCCCAACAATACAGGGTGCTGAACCAACCGTGTGTCACCTGGACTTTTCCTGGCGTAAACCCGCTTTGTCCCGGAGGTAAGTGAGTGGGGACAGGCTGGAGAGCGGGAGGGGCAGGGAGGCGCTGCAGCGCGCGAGGGGACCTGTCTGCACCCCAGTCCCCAAGCACCCCGAACTCCGGGCCGCGGGACCTCTGACTTTTCAGGTCGCCAGGGCCGAACGGCGCTGTCGCGGGCGGCGACAACTGCAAAGCTGTGGCAACCACGAGACCTGCCCCGCCGCCTCCGGCCCGACCTCACCTACCGGTCACCACCACCGCCTTCCGCGGCTGCTCCATGGCCGGACACGCTCACTGGGACCGCAGCAGCAGAGACTGAGCGGACACCGACCGCGAGCCCCGCCCGGCCGCCCGGCCCCGCCCCC